TGGCAAACTTTATGTTGCGTAGGAGCTATTCCTTTAGCAAGGCAAGGTAAGGTTTTAGCTGCCGCAGCATTACGTTTAGATGATAAAAGTGCCATCGTACGTAAATACGCGTTACAATTACTACGTGTCTTACTTCAAGCCAATCCTTTCGCTGCTAAGTTAAACAAAGAAGAAATTTCCAAGTCGTTAGAAAAAGAAGAAATGAAGTTGAGAAACATGCAGACGAAAATGGTTAGCAAAAGTGCTCGCGGTGATAGTCAAAGATTAGAACTGTGGAACACTCTGCTTCCGGAAATAAGAAAAGCATTAAAAGAAATTAGTAACGATACAACGGAAAAAAGTAAAAAACGAGACAAAGGTGATGAGAGTGAGGAAGAGGAAGAAAATGACGACGACGAAGAAAACTTTAATCCTGATACAGCATTTGAAAATGTTAGACAATTAATGTTAAAAGGAGAGATTTTTGTAGCGGTGAAATATTTGTGGAAGGCTTGTATGAAATTGAAGCAAAATCCAAATATGAACAAATTTTCTTTCGAAGCAAAAGAGGAATTTTTATTTTTACTTTTATTGAAAACGTTTATGGAATCGGAGAATAACGAAAATAATGCGCAAGTAAATGCAAATACAACGCAGTCATCGGACAAAGATAGAGAAAAACAGGAAGTAGAATCGCAAAAACGACTTGTAAATTATTTGAGAAACTGTTTGGTATTTGCAAACGAATTGGAAATCGCTATACCGATGGCAGAGAAATTGCTTTTTTCTACAACAGCAGGTGATGCCATTGAAGCGTGTACTTTACTTGGTACAGCGTACCAGTTTGGTGTAGCTGGGGCTGAAGTCGCTATACGCGATGCTTTGTCTCAAGTATTTCATCAGGATCTTTCAGTACGCAATAACGTAGCTGTAGTATACAAAGACATTTACTTGAGTACTAATGAAAAAGTATCAGACAGACAAAAAGCCCTGTTACGTGTTAAAGCTTTGATCGAATTATTGAAAGGATTGAAGCCTGGTCAAAGTCAAGCTTTGAATAAACTTATTTTAACGTGGTACGGTAATAGTGATCTAGGCAGCGAAGAATTACAGGTTTTATGGGGAAAGTTTTCAATGAAATCATCGGATACAGATCCATTAGATAGTAGAACAGCTTTGATGCTGATAACGATGATAGGTCAAGCTCAAGATTGTATTTTAACTGAAAATTTGGATGTATTAATAAAAGTGGGCATGGGGCCACGAGCAAAAACTGATCTTCTTCTAGCCAGAGATACATGCAGAGCGTTGATGAAGATAAAAAATAAAGGTGACGACGCTGAAAAATCACCTATTAGGTATCCCAATGATCATGAAATGTTTAGAGAAATCGTTACGTTACTAATAGAAAATTTTACTAACACAAAAGAAGACGGATACGTGTCGTTCGCAACAGACGCTATTAACGCCATTTATCAGTTAGCAAATCAGCCTGCTCATTTAATGGAGCACGTAATATTAGAAGTGTGTAACCGAGGAAAATTCAATAATAACGATAAGACGCTACTCATTCCATCTTACTGGGTATCGAAATTTCTATATTTAGTCGGACACATTGCAATTAGAGAAATGGTACATCTGGACACGTCAGTCTACTCGGAATTAAAGCGAAGAGAGACGATACGAAAATCAAGAAACACAAAGAAATCAGATAGAAATAAAGGGAATACTCGTAAATTCAGTACCGTGAACAAATCGTTCACTACCCCAAATAGCGCGAGGCAGATGATTCGTAATAAAGAGGTACGATATACAGTGGGTGTAGAAAGTATTCGTACACCGATCAATTTCCAAAAAAAACTATGTAAAATTATAATTTATCAACTTATTTTTTATAAACAATGACATTCTACATATTCTTGGAAATCTCTAGAATAGATAGATTACAAAAAAAAGATAGCTATTTATGTAAGTTACGAAATTAACAAGAAAAAAACAATTAATCGATAGAAATGTTGAAACAATAAGTATTCGCACAACTGTTTAATATTTAAAACTTCATTAAAAAAAAGAAATTTACATTAATTTACAAGTATATGATACTTCCTTCGTGGGATTTCCTTTTGATTTTATAATTATTGCAACTCTTTCTAAGCGTTAAATTAACTAAATTATTAGTTATTCGAAGTGGGATCTTCTTCAATTCCTCTATTAGAGCCATTTTTAAAAGTACTTTACTGAAAATTTAATGTTTTAATGTTCTAATTCATACGGTGCAATAAATTAATGTGTTTACGTTAGAAACTCTACTGTAAATGGTTCTCCATAAGAATCGTACAAATACTTGTTGCTTCTATACTTTTACCCACTTTTCGCATTTTTTTTTTTTTTTTTTTTTTTTGTTAATTTCACAAATTATATTAACTAGTAAATGTTGTTTGGACTATATCTATCTTAGAGACTTCCGAGAATATGTAAAATATCATTGATTATAAAAAAAAGAAGTTAAGAAACTACAATTTCACACAAAAGTTTTTTGGGAAATTGATCGGTGTACGAATGCATTCTACACCTACTGTATGTACATAGTGTTTTATAATATTCGGGAAATATTCCGTATTTAGAGATGGATTCATTGATTACATTACATCTCTGTCTGTATACAGACGTACAGGGTGAAACGCTTAACATGTTCGCTTTGAATATCATAGAGCAGAAACTACGTGTTGTATGAAACGTCATATACAAAAGTTACGTAATTTCGGAGGAGGCTCTACACATAGTGGAAAAGAATTTCGTAAGCTAACAAAAATTCAAATTTCTTGTTCGCAAGAAATGAATCGAAACCAGGGCATAAAATTCACAAAGCTGGAAATTCATAAATCGAGAACTGCATGTGTGCAATTTCTCATACGACGCTTGATTTATAAATTTCAAAGTCTTGCTGGTCTTTGCTGTGTTAGGTTGCCTCATCCTGTATATTTGGCGTTCGTTTCATTTTCGATTTTTCATTTAGGCGAGCATAGTGGAAGATAATGGAGAGGAAGCTGTGGAAGGAGCAGCAGACGATGAGGAAGCAGAATTGATAAACAATGTTCTTGAAAATCATATTGTAACTGGAGACGGACTTCTAACAAAATTTGTGTATGTTAATGAATAACAGTATTTACAATAATTTACAATTACATCGCTAGCTTCAACGTTACACACGTTTCTATGTGAACTTTATGTTTCACAGTCCGCTAGTGTTACATGTATGTCAAAATCCCAATAAGTATAACGACGAAGATATGCAACAAGCTGGTACTCTTGCTCTCAGTAAAATGATGACAGTGAGCTCAATATTTTGCAAAGAAAACTTGCAGCTTTTAATTACGATATTGGAACGTTCGCCGTACCCTAGAATTCGAGCAAACGTTCTTATCGGAATAATGGATCTTGCATCGAAATTTCCAAATGAAGTTGAACCATGGATGAAACACATTTACGGCAGGTAATCGGATATAGAAATTAAGAAATATTAAATACAGCAAATGTAATAAAAGTACATGTTGCGATTAAAAGTATATCATATATTTTCAGACTACGGGATAAAGATACCCACGTACGAAGTACCTGTGTTCGTGTTTTATCGAGTCTTATAATGAGAGACATGGTGCGTATCAGAGGCCAGATATCGGAATTAGCTCTCTGCATAGTCGACGAAGACTTTGAAATTCGTGAAAGTGCAAAACAATTTTTCGGAGGATTTTCGCAGAAAAGCAATGCCTTGTACAATATAATGCCCGACATATTGTCTCAATTAACCGATCCTAATTTAGATATAAGCGAATCGGATTTCCGAGAGGTTCTAAAGTATGCATTGTCGATCAGAAATAAACATACATACTCGACAGTTTGATCCAATAATTAACATTTACAGGCACATCTTAGGTTTATTGCAAAAGGAAAAACAAATCGAGACTATAATCGATCGAATTTGCGTCAGATTTCAACTGGCTACTACAGAAAGACAGTGGCGTGATTTTTCATACTGTCTCTCACTCTTACAATTTGGCCCGAAAAGTAAATAAGAAATAATCAATTAAATACAAATTTAATTAAATACGTTACGTTTCGTTAAACATTTGTTAATAGGTATACAACGTCTTATCGAATGTTTGCCTCTATTGAAGGAGAAAATTTACCATCAGGAAGTTTTAAAAGCTTTGCAGAATGTTGTGGAACAGTGCAAAAAAAAACCGAATACAAAAGTAGCTGGTACAGAACTGGAAGAAAAAATAGAGGAACTTCTCAAAGGTAGAACGGAGAATGGTGATAACGAAATCATGCCACCGCCACAAGCACCGGTAAAAAGAAACCGTGTTAGACGTTTAAGGCGCAAAAGTAGTAGCGATGAAGAGGATGACGATGCCAATAGTGATCCCGATGCAGTACCTCCTGTAACGAAACGTAAGTTTTATACATACACAAACTATGTCCACATATAATTGTGGATATATATGCGTTGATTGTGCTATATACGAAACAATTATTTTATTTGTACAGATCTTAGGGCAACCCCGTCAACTTCAAAAAAGTTACCAAGTCGAAACAAAGACAATAATTCGAGTGCTGCTTCAGTATCGAGAAATAGAAAGTCCGTTTCAACTCCGTCGGGTACTCCGAAAAGAACTTCGGCACGTTTATCGCAGTCGCGAACTAAACAATAAAATTTGCGATTACATTAGTAGAATTAATGTATAGTTTTCTACTGTTTAATATATGTCGTATAGAGAAAGTAAAAATAAGAGGAAAAGACGTGTATATTTTCACACGATCTCGTAAAACCGATGAGAATGTCAAATGTTTTGTAGAATTATTCTTTGTTTTAGTAGGGTGAAGAAATTTCTTGTAAGTTACATGCTTCCTTCTGTAAAAGACTTTGGTCTGAGATAGATAGGTCCAACTGTACAAATGAACCACTTTTTTTTTGCATGTAACGAATCAAGAAAGTATTACTTTCATTTGTTTATAAAGGTGCAGAGTTGTCTACGCAACTGCAACGGATTTTGTGTTACATTAAATTGTGTCTTTCATTAAAATGTTCTTTCTTTACATTGTTTTACATTCTCTTCATTCTCTGACCTCCCTGTTAGTACCGATTACTTCGTATTCGTTCCCTATGAATTTCACAATTAATAATTGTTTAAAATGCAATTTTAGAAGAGTTTCTGCAACTAGAACAAATTATAATCTCATTCCGGTTAATTTAGCTAATATTTTCCTAATATACACGTTCCATTTTAGAAATATTCAATGTTTTTGATGTAGCAGTAGAGAAAATGTGAAGTAAGCAAAATATTTAAATTCTTTGTAAATTTTAATTTATATTTCATAAAGAGATTGTTTAGGTATAATAAAAGTATTAATCAGTAGATATACCAAGTTTCTTTGCGTTTAACGAGAACTATGCGCACATCACGATGAGCATGCTTTATAATGACGCTTATATAATCATCTTGAGCATCAACAACAAAAACCAATGCTCCGCAACCGCCAAATATCATATCACTGTCGAAAGTAGGATCAAAGGAGTTAATTTGTCCTTTGTGCTTTCCAGAAATAACGTTTCGTTTGGCGACATCTTATGAAAAACTACTTTCTGTATGGATGATTTTCCGCTCCTAGAATGAATATTAATTTCAAACACGCGATAATATGGATAAAACGATGACATTTTGAAAATTTAAGGGATGCGATTCCAAGGCCTGATTTTGCAATTTTGGCCTTAAAACTTTATAAACAATAAAAGCGCGTTTGCTATCTTCATTTCATTGGTTACTTCCTTATCGACCTTATCGCAGTGGATTATCATCTGAACTTTGGCGGAAACTTCTTTATCGATTCAAAGGAGAATTTCTTTTACCATCTTTTGTTCCGTTTCCGTGAATTTCTGTTTGATTTTGTTAATTAACAAATTGTTTTCTGGTTGTTCAATACGTGTGATCATTAAAACTCGAAAATAAAACCACTTATATTCTGAACATAAATTTATTATAGTCTCAAGTGCTATATACAGGGTGTCCCAAAAATGTTGTAACACCTTGAAAGTGGTGGTTCAGGCAGTGATGGGCAAACCCTACGTTTCGAATAAATCTGAAGTTTGCCGATGTGTTTGTCTTGTTTCCTTCTTTGGAAAATGTTTAAATTAGGAAACGCAATTATTAATTGTGAAATGCATAGGCAACGAATACGAAGTAATCGGTACTAACAGGGATGTCAGAGAATGAAGAGAATGTTAATTAATGTGTGGCGCCTCCACCACGGCAGGCTGAGGCTCTGCCGCCATCCGCTGTGCGGCGTACCGAGCTAATGGATGGATCGTCACGCCACCGAAGGAAACAGACACTAACTCCACGACCTGAGTTCTAGGGATTTTTGTTCTCGGTGAATTGGAAATTCCGGGACGGGATTCCCTCTCGACGCGCACTGTGAGATATATGTACAAAATCCATTTCTTTTGCAAATAAAGTTAAATAGAATTATATATTCTATAATTGTTGACCCCGACGTGATCGGAAAAACGGATTACGCCGCCGCGTGTTCTTTTGTAGGGTCTACATCGCGTGCTCAGCGAACGACGTGCCGTAAATCGACACTGCAGAGACAATCACCACCTTCATTTTTCTTTTGCGCTGTGCACAACAAGACCTACGCAAAGACTCAGTGCAGACTTCTCGCGTAACTCTCACCCACGTGTTCAGTGATAGGTGAAAAGTGAACATTTCGTGTGCAATCGTCACGTACTCATCTCAACGCTGCTTCATCACACGTGATCATGCCTCACCAACACTTGTCACCAGGTGCAAATGAGCCTGCAGCATCTGCAGCAGGGACAACGTCGCCGCATTTGGACATGTCCATTGCCTCTCCGACAGTCGTAGCAGCCAGTGCACCCAAAATATCACCTTTCTGGAAGCACGCACCCATGCTATGGTTCATACAATTGGAGTCGCAGTTCAGGACAAGCAGGATCACTGCTGATTCCACCAAATATGATTACATAGTCGGCTCCCTGGACGCAGAGTCAATGATGGAGGTT